GGGCTGGACTCGATGACCTCTCAAGGTCCCTTCCAGTCCTATGATTCTATGATATGTGATGTTGTATCCCTATATTCTTTATGGAAATATGCTTCTGAATATGAATATACCTGAACTGAATATGGTTTATTCAAAATATTGCATGAAACCTACGATCAGAAAGCTTGTAAGCTACTGAATGAGTCTCATCTATTTGTGGGTCTGTGTCATTTCTGTGTTTGAAGCTAGAAATGTGAAGTATAAATATATTTGCTGATCTAGACCTGCTAAGTGACGACCATTGGTGGTACTTAAGAAACGTAACGGCACAGTATTTGGAACAATGACCTGTGAATAGTCTTGCATCTCTTGTGAGCCTTGACTATGGTAGGCCCTATAAAAGACCTGCGACCAGGCTACCTGATGCCGGAAACCATTTTGGACTCTGTACTTTTCCACTCAAGGTGAGAAAAGTTTGAACTGAATATAAAGGACTCTTGTCTGGGGCAAAAGGCAGGAAACCAAACAACTGGGGTGGCTGCTAGATGCCAGAAGACCCCTGGTTATCACCTAAGATAATTGCTGGAAACATCTAAGCCTGGCCAGGGGAGGACCGGGCCCTAGCTGGGAGTTTGTCTAGCTTGCGATAAAAGGTAATTAGACTAATGTTAGAGTAAGAAATTGCATGCAACGATTTTTTTAAGAGTATTAAGCTTAGCTGACTTGGTTTTGTTTTATTTGCTTAGTAACTTACTTTGATCTGTCTGCTATTACTTACAATCACTTAAATCCTACTTTTTATACTCAATAAAAGCACTTTTGTTTATTAGTAAATTCAGTGTAAATAATTGTTACTAGCTGAGGTCAACAGCTGTGCATATCGTTCTTCCATCGAAAGGGGGCGGACAACTTATGAGCTCACGTTATGCATAGTGAGACGGATTTATCTGGTGGTTTGGTCCCATGGGGGATGCACACCTGGGTGCTGTGTCAAGTCCCTTTGACTGAGTCTTCCCAGAGCTGAGTGGATCTCAGTGTTTGTGCTGCTCTGCTGTGGGGCTGTGACCCCCAACTCTGAGATATTGCTGTGGGAGACCAGCGATTCTGGCCTACTGGGACAGGGTGATGTGAAGGCGCCCCAGAGGGCAGGTAGGTGGAAACCCATCAGTGGAGAACCTCAAGGGCATCTCTGTGACCAAACCCACCACAGTCTGTGTCTCAGGGGGTAGAAGTAATCAGGAAGGAAGTGTATGAGCTTTCTACATCTACATTCCTGTCCTTGTGACAGCAGCATTAAAACAACTACGAGCTATGTCAAACGTAACTTCTTAAAAGTATCCTTTTTATATAAAAAAGTGGAAAATCTTAATGCTTTCCCTCTTGGAAATAGGCTAGATTCTTAATAAGAAACATGCATACTTCCACTACTAATAAAAATCTGCTCCTGTTTTAAGTGCAGAGCATAAATGTACAGCACAGGAGTTCAGAAATGATCCCTCATTATCAAAAAAGAGTATATAAAACAGAGCATTTTAAAGAGCTGTCACATTTTAAACATTGTTGGGGTAAAAATCATTAAGAATATCCTTCAGCTATGTTACAAAGTAATTTATCATTTTAAATCATTCCATTATTCAAACAAATTCACTTCGCTATTTTCTGTTCTGATTTTCATTCACCTTAGACAATAAAATACACGTGTCAGTTTTATATTAGTTTATGTGTACTGGCACAAGACTGCCACGTTTGGATTAAAATGCTGAGGAGAATATTCAAATACAAATTAAAGGATTTGGGGGGAAATGCTAACGGCATGAGAAAAACAACAGTTTCAAGTGGGATCTAAATACGATGGTTCTCTTCTTGGTCATGTATTATTTTTTCTAGGTTTCCAAGGTTTCCTTATCTTTAATAAGAAGATGTTCGGTGTGGTGGTGTTTTTCAGAGCTGACCTGAAAGTGATACTCCGGTATTCGGCACAATTATTTCTTAGCCAGAGATGAAAAAAATTATAGCAAACCTACAAACAATTAAGAAGCAGGAAAAAAAATCACTCAATATTATAAATTAAAGAAGCAAAACGGGTACTAATTTTGTTCCAGGAGGACAATGCGGCTTTTAAAAAGAAATGTTTATTCTTGCATTTCTGTTCAGAGCACTATTTTTTGTTTTCAAACAACAAACAAAAATGAAAAAAAGCCCACTTTCATCTCTTTTTTTTCCCTATTCTCTCCTTTTATGCAGAATTTCTTTCCCTTGGGAGAATGGAGATTCATGAAAAAGCCTCTGTGGATTTTTTTTTATTTTGGTTCTTTTGTATTTTTGTGCAATTCAACTGAAGATAACATTTGAAGACAAGCAATTATTATTTAATAAACTCCAGCTTCCAGATCCACAGGAAGCAGTGACTTTCTTAAAGCAGCATCTATGATTTTTTTTTAAACAGGGTGCCTATTTGTGGTAATCATAACCAATATTTCATTCCACCTCCTGACACTGTTACACAACATTTATTGAAAGCATATTTGATGGTAATGAAGTTTCTATTAACTATGATTAAGTTTCATAAAGCACCTGAAGATAATTTAAGATGTGCAGGAGCAGAAAACGAAACATTTGGTTTAGTACATTAGGAAATGTAATTGATTAAATTATCTAATTTACAATAAGTGCTTTCTATGAGCCATGGAGGGCACACTTTCTCCAGTTTGCCATTACAGTTTGTTAGGAGATAGCAAGGATTTCGCAAGCTTTTATTCTCTCTCTCCCTCTACTTTGCTCTCTTTTTGTACCCTCCAGCTACGGGAAATCTGTTTTTCCATGCAACCATTCTTATAGCATGTGAAAATCTTAACAGATATGAAATGAGTCAAAGCTAGAGGACCATGTAGATGGCTGTTCAGCAGAACAGGTTGTTTCTCAATTGTCTTCATAATTGAGTTTTTTAATCAGTGAGGATTCATTTAGTCTTAAACTAAGTCCCCTGTTTGAACTGCAACGAGCTGTATTTTATATAAGGATCATCTAACCTCATGGTGTAAAGCAGGGGTGGGTAATCAAATGGTGTCGGTTTGCCAGGTTTGCCCCTGGTGGGCCACTGGCACTATATTTACTGCATAGTTGCAGGTACCAGCGATTGCAGGTCCCATTGGCTGCAGATCACCCTTCCCAGCCAATGGGAGCTGTAATTGCTGATACCTGCAGTCATGCAGGCAAACATAGTGGTGGGGGCCAGCCAGAGCTACTCATGGCAGATAGAATCCAGCCTGTGGGTTGGTATTTGCCCACCACCGTCTTAAAGAAACACCATTTAATTGCCCTAGGAGCCTCATGCACTAAAATTGACTCCATTAAGATTTTTAATCAATCAGAAATTAAGCAGTTGGACTTATTCTCTTTTAGAGTAGGAAGTGCACAGATAAAAAAAGAATGCAACAGTTGCTCTAAAGAAGTTGTAAAGTAGATTGCAGAAGGGGGATCGTCCCTTGAAAATAAATGTAGAAGGGTGTGAAAATTCAAGCTAACCATGGAATGATTTACAGTTTTGGAAAATCCATAGAAATATTTCATAATTGGAAGAAACACACCATATTCGAGGATTCTGTGCAAACCAAGCAATAACACATTCCTAGCTAGGAGGCTAATTATTCTTTAGTATAAAAAATAATAATTATAATTAATTATTATATTATTTTTGAAGCTACTAGATTATGGTCTCCTGATCTGTGATTCTTTTATAATGCTTGTTTTTTTAACATAGCAAAATACTACGAAATGTATTTACTTGAACTTGTTTTATGACCCCCATAAAAATTAACCATCAATTTGACATCTCTATATATACTGTACATAGGTCTAAGAATACATAGCTTGGGTCGGAATATCCCAAGCATCGCCAAATAAATAGATGCCCAAACCCTACTGAATTTTCAACAGGATTTCAGTACCTAATTCACTTAGGCTCCTTATAAAATGTGGCCTTTAAATCTGGGAATTTCAGATAAATAATATGCGCTTCACAGGAAGAATTTAAAGAAATTTAAAGAAAATGTTACTCATTCAGACTCAGAACTAGCATGTGCCAGAAAGCAGATTTTTCCCAACAACAAAACTATCTTAAAAATAGATCAAAATACAGTAATTCCTCGTTTAACACTATAGATATATTTCAGAAAATGGTCATGCTAAGAGAAAACGTGTTATGCGGGGTCAATTTTCCCATTGAAAATAATGGAAAAGGTGGGGGCTGCGTTTCAAGCGGTGGTGTCTGTTGAGACCGGGACATAAGGTTGGGGGAGAAAGGGGATTGGGTTACAGCAGGAAGGGGAGGTGTTTGGTTCTGGGGAAGGGAAGAGGAGGAGAGGGGAGGGGGATTGGGTTGGGAGTATGCCCCTGTGACGGGTCTGCCAGGACCTGCACTGCGTCCGGCGAAGGAGAGTCCCTGGGGAACGACATGGCGAGCGGTGAACCCTCCTCCGCTTTGCAGGGAGGCGGGGGAAACCCCGTGCAGCCGCTAGCAACGGGCCAGCTGGGGAAATCGTGTTATTCCGGAGACGGTTGGGTAATTCAAAAAACGTTCCCTAAAAACAAAATCGTGCTATTGCGAAAACGTGTTAAGCGGGCACGTATTAAATGAGGAATTACTGTATCTTCACTGAAATTCTGGACATTTGGGGGATGTTTTTAAAAAAAGAAAACCTAAAAGCTTAAAAAAATTCAGCTGGTTGGGCAATTATTTTTTCTTTCTACAGATCCTTTTTTAATCATAAAATCACAATCGCTCTGAAGAGAAACTCCAAGATACGCATTACTGCAGAAAGGACCAGGCTTTGCTTCCCAGCTCCTGAGGAATAATCACTTTTTTTTACATTTAATGCAAAATATTTGATTACTAACAGGAGGCTTTTATTAATCCATTTGCCTTTCGTACAACTTTGTTTTATTTAGCTCCTAAACAAATAAAGCAGAATGAAAGACAAAATGAAAAAAATATATATTTACAAGACAAAAAAACAACTTACTTTGGGGTTTTATTTCATGAAGAGGTTTTTTATCTATAAGAGAGAGAGGGAGAGAGAGAAAGAGAGAGAAAGTTGCACTTAATAAATTTACATGGAGCGTATCTATTTCCTATATCACTTTCTGTCGCTCTAGAAATGAAGTGTAATTCGAAATAGCGCTAACTGAAAATAGAGCCATAACGTGATTATGCAAATGAAGAGCGGGATATTTAAATCCCAGCTTAATTTGCAATTTCAGTACACTACATTTGTATCCCTATTTCAAAATAGGGAGCAAGTGTAGACATACCCAAAGGTTGTTTTAGAGATCACATCCTCATTACTGGACCTCAATGGATAATTTTGTATCACTGACAATTAACAGACTTTGAAATATAGCTGTTCTGGCCTCTCCTAAATACTCTACAAAGTTCTTCACCGTAAACTTGTTCTCCTAACCAAGTGTGTACGCTTTTGTCATTAATATCTGTCTTCATGTCATGTCCCATGACAGACAACCGGTGAAATTTTTGCACTTTGGCTATAACTGACTTGATTGAATACTCCATAGCATACTCACGGTATGGTTCCGTGCACACTATGGGGTAACTTGTTACGGGTACTTGATCGGAGCCCAAAACCCCCAAGTATTTTGGAAGTGATTGGGCCAAAAATAGATGAGTTCAGAAAAAAAAATCTGTGCTGTTGAAGTAAAATAGAATTGATGACCAAGGAATAATTTCCTCTATGATACGTGTTTATACAAGCATTTAAAACAAGGTCATTTTAACTTTCCAGATGCTTGAAAAGGTTAAACACAATCTGCAACTCCTCTGAATGTGGAAAATAGAAAAAAACCAAGATTGTATTGCTGAAGACAGGTTGATCAATCATTTGCCAAACATACTGTATACTCCAGCAAAGACAGAAGGGGTGTATCAAAATAACACCAAGAATTGAGACTGCATAAGTTCATAGGCACTTATATTTAGAAGTCCTATTCATGTGCCAGCCTTGCTCACTGTACAGTGCCCTTTCAAGCATCAACATTCATGCTATTTAGCACTGTGTAAACCTAGCCTTGTACTCTTAATGGAAAGGGAGAAATTAATTCTGGAGTACCATATTTAGGTCAAAATCCAAAATTGATTTAGTTTGGTAAACGTTAAGTGAATTTCTCTCTCTAGCTCCTATGTTTCTATTAGGCCATGGCGCCACACAGAATTATTTCCAGTCCAGTTTTAAACACCACCAGCAACTGCCCTTGTGAGACGTTTTCTACAGGTTGAATCTCTCTGATCCAGCACCCTCGGGACCTGACCAGTGCTGAACCAGGAAATTTACCAAGTCATGGGAGGTCGATATTGTCTAGCAGCATTACCAACGCTTCCACTTCTTAGTGGCCTTTTAGGAGACATTTAGAGGCAAATTAAAGCTAACCAACAGTACAGAAGACCTGAGCAGCAGGACTGGTGGCTGTAAACAAACTTTATGGGACCAAAGGAAACTGGGCCACGCTCATGATAAGAGGACTTCCGGCTAACTAAAATCATGCCAGTTCATGGATGTGGCCAGACCATAGTGTGCTGGACTAGTGAGGTTCAACCTGTAGTGATGAGATGGAACAGTTTCCTGATAATTCTGCCCCATTTTAACCATACCAGTTTACTGTAACCTATCTCCCTTCTAAGTTTTAGACTCCTTAAATAGCTAATATTTAGCCTGGCTTCTCTTGCTTATTTTAAATGAGAGCTGGATAAGCAACAGGCATGGACATCTTCAGAAAAGCATATTCCCTATTTCCATGGTTTAGATTCAATTTTTTGGAGGGAAGATCTTTATGCTGCTACTTTATTCCTTGTTCCTCCTCAAGGGTTTCACATCCCGGAGAACCATTGTTTTCATTAAGAAATGAACATTCAAGGATTCTACCTAAAGCCAACCAAGAATCCATCAGCTCCACAAATAAACTCATAGAGATCCATCATCTTCCTTTCAAGTGCAAACAGATGGACATCATACCCTAACCCAGTGGTCCCCAACGTTTTGGGGCTGCTGGGCGCCTGGGGGCGGGGCCGCTCATGTGCTGGGCTTACGGGGGCGGGGCCGCTCACAAGCCACGTGACTGGGGGCGGGGCTAAGCATGCGCTGCACACCCGGGGCCGGCACCGGTATGTGCCGTGCG